GTGCAAAATAGAGACCAGTTTGAAAACTTTTTATAAAATTTTAGATTGGTCAGGTTACCAGAGAAATGCTTTTAAAAATGGTGGGAATCCGGGAAGGACTTTAAGCCACTGGGAGATAATTACATTTCATTTAAAAAATTATTCCCCAAAATAGTTTGAACAGTAGCATCCTGATGTGATGCTCTTTTTCCCACTGTGCCATCATCCCTTTCAGTTCCTATTTCTCTCTCCAGGGCTGATGATAAGAGAACCAACAACTTGGATTCATCAGGACCAAAAAGATGGCTGCTGCCTGAGAAGCAACTCCTCTTCCTTGACTATCAAACAGGGAATACAGCTCACTCTGTTCCACCACAGAAAATGACTACCTGCGGCAAAGGATATGTACATGAAGGCCCCAAATTTGAAAGTTAACTGCAAGAAATGAACAAGGGTATATGGATCATTTACAAACTCTAAACAGTCACTGAACACTTTTCAAAGCTTTACTGTCAAAAATGCTTTATCCAATATAAAATAACACTGCCTAAAATACTGAGTACTGTAAAAATCAATACAACTTAGTTGAAGGTATATGACTCCTTAATCTGCAACAGATAATAATTTCTTTAGGTCACGCTTCTAAAACCCTGAATAAAATTCTTACCCTGGCTTCCAGAAGTGTAACATCCATTCCAAAACTTTGTAACTGACGAGCTGCTGCCAGGCCTGAGACCCCAGAGCCTATGATAATTACCTTTCCGGTCTTTTTAGCTAAAGGAAAAAAAAAAAAAACCACAAAAATTAGAGTATTGTCACAGTTTAAGAGGTTGTATTTTTATTTTGTTTATCATGAAAATTTCTAGGTTCCTAACATGTCCTGCTGGTCTTACAGAAAATAAACAATTCAGACAGTTATTTTCAAAATATGGAAACTATCTGAATACAAATCAGCAAATACTTGAAACAAACTTTAATTCAATATAGAGAATCTACAAGTCAAATCCATTATCTTAAAATTTACTTTCTCATTACTTCAGTTATGTGTTCCAGCATCTGTGGCCCTTGTTTAATTTACAATGAATATTCTGCTTTATTTACCTCAGAGATAGATAGGGCTGGAGCAACCAACCTATTTAGTCTGGGTGTAAGTTATTTCCATTAAGCTCTACTTCTGCAGTCTTAAATTAGTATCTCTTTTCGAAGAATTTTTAAAGCATGAAAAGTAACTATTAATTCTGAGAATATGCTTATCTACTGGCTCTCTGGCAGACATTATCTAGATACCATGAATAAGCAACCTTTAGCAGGATAAAGAACTGGTCAGTAACAACAAAAAGAAAATATAGTATCTTTACTATGCATCCATCAAACCAGAAGTTAAAGAAAATGCACGTTTATAAAAAGATTTTATTTTAAATCTGACTTCTAAGAAGATAAACCTGGGGCTATTTTGACTCTAGATTTTAAAGTCAAAATGAAATGCTAACAGCATCATGAACATAAAACAGAGTCCTAGAATCCTAACTTAAAACCATGAAATGCATTAGCCAGGTCCTTACTTGGTAGGGGTTTTATCCTCTTATAGATGCCGAAGTTGATAAGACCATGACGCTCTAAATAACTGTGAACTCGGTGGACAAGCACGGTATCACCTACAGAATAAATGAATTTAAAAGCATTTATATTTTTAGCAGTTTAGACAGAAATTTCTTCTAATTCTTCTATTTCTCCATCATGAAGTCATTCTATACATCTCTTCCATAAGCTTCAGGTCATGTGACTCCTTTAGAAAAGTGATTCTTAGAACTATTCGTCTGTGAGGTAGTCCAAATTGCATTACATAATTCAGAATTTTTAAAACCGATTATTCCACTATAGATAGAAAGGAAGCACAAAACCAGACCCTTTTAGAGTAGTTGTAACACTCATTTATTTTGGCAAAAATTTCACAAGACGCTGGTGGTAAGTGGGAAACAAGAAAGCCAGATAGCCAGTAAACGGAGTGCCAACCAAGTTTTCTACGGATCAAAATTTGGATCATAAATCTAGGAAGATAATTTAGCAATCTCCTGAACTCATTTGGCAACACAATTTAAAGACCAGGAAAACAAACACAAACACATAGAACAGGTTTTCTATAAGGCTCATTTGTGCACAGCAGGATATGGTGAAATAAGATAGAAATATGAATGAAAAAATTCATTATCAACCGTGAGACTCCTGGAAGGACATATCAACTTTCACAATCTAATCCCAAATTAATTCTACTGAATACACTACTTACTGTTATAAGGCGCTTCTAACTGTTGGAGAGTAGCCTCGAATGTCAGCTGAATCTTTGGATTATCCAACCACAACTGCAACTGTATTTAAATGACAGAAACTGTATTATATACAAATAGACATATACCATTTACCATCTTTAAAATCCTCTATTTACCTTCAAGACCCTGACTATGGGCTTTCCTTTCATTAACACAGTGAGGGCTATATTTCTGACAAAGAAACTGATAAAACACAAAGCCGTGTCAAATTAGTGAACCACTGAAGAAGTTGGGGGATATTTATTCTAAAAAAGAAAAATAACTAGTAACTTGCCAAGGTCATCCAGCTAGTAGGGAACAACTAGGACTTAAACCTGGGGTATATGCTTCCAGAGACACAGATGAAATAAAATCCGTAAGACCTAGTGATCAATTAGACATGCAGAGCTGGGAGAAAAAGAAGTGCCAAGGATAACTCCTCAATTTTGGGCTCACATGACTGAGTTGGTATGCCATTCACTGAATTAGGGTCACTGAAAGAAGAAAAGAGATCATAAGTTTATTTTCAAGACAACCAAGAAGACATACAAGACAGGCAGCTAGACATACAGTCTGGGGCTAGAGGAGTGTTACAGTCTGGAGTCATCTGCTTGTGAGTGATAACTGAAGCTAAATGTGTAGAAGACGGGTGCTAGGGGGAAAAAACAGAGAAGAGAGGAGAGCACACCTCAGTCTGAGCCTTAAGAACTCCCAGCTGGTTCATGTAAAGACTACTTGGTAAGAATAAGCCTACAAAGCAGTCAGAAAAGACAGCAACCAGTGAGGTAAGAGGAAAACCAGAATACTTCTTTTAAGAAGAAAGACATGGTTAATTTCGAATACTGCTGAAAAATAAGACGAGGAATGGAAAACATTATATTACAATCAGTGGAACCTTAATATAAATTTTCTTCAAATTAAATATATGTATTTGTAAAATGCAAGACAAATTAATACTACCGTAAAGCCTTACCTAAAAATTAATAAAGACTGCTCCATAGGCAAGTATCAATCATGGAGTCATTTGATTATGTGTAAATAAACCATATTAGAAGGAGACGGGCCCACACCCATACGCATCCTCCACTTTTCCCTGTGGCCACTGTCAACGGAAAATGGAATTCCCAAGTACACACTAAACCCTCAACAAGTCTTCTTCCTCCTTCCATCCTATAAATAAGGCTCAGATCATAGATTCAAGCTCAATAATCATAAAATTACAGTTTCAAAATCAGAGGCAAAAGAAGTTTGTGGTAGCTAAAAGGCAGACAGGCTAAAATGACACTTCTGAGCTACATTAAAAATAGCTGAAATCACAATGTAAACTGCTACACTGTATCACCCTAGAGTACAATGAATATGTTCTGAATACACCTTGCCTTCCTCTACTCTATGGCTGAAGAATTTTTTATGAATAAAGGACATGAACAGAAAATTCACAGAAGAAATACAAATAACTAATAAATGTGAAAAAGTAGTCTCAGTAATCAAATATAAATTAAATGAGATAGGTTTTGGCTTATAGCAGCAAAGATTATCATGGTTAATTTTAATAACAAAAACAGGGTGGGCAGTGAGGATGTCAAATGGTCAGGCTTTCTGGGAAGCAATCTGGCAACATGTATTAAACTTAAAAAATGTTCATACCCTTTGACAGGGTAGTTTTCCTTCTAGAACTCTATCCTAAGAAAATAATAATCAGAGATAGGGTCAAAAATGTATAAGGCTGTTCAGAGCTTAATTAATAATAAGGAAAAATTAGAAGCTTAACTGTTTAACAGTTAAATTATGATCCAGCTGTCAGACGAAATAGTATGCAGACATTAAAATCAAATTAAAATTAAATTCAGTCAAAATTAAAATCAATCAGGAGTAGGCTGTACCAGATGAGTAGAACAGAAAAAGGGTTTCTCTTACCTTGGGAGGGAAAGACAAAGTGATTATTAACAAAATATTTATATTTTTAATTTTAAATAAAAGATTCTTAATGTATGCCGTGGATTGAATTGTGTCCTCCAAAAATATGGGTATCAATTTGGCTAGGCCATGATTCCCAGTATTGTGTGATTGTCCACCATTTTGTCATCTGATGTGATTTTCCTATGTGTTGTAAATCCTCTCTCTATGATGTTAATGAGATGGGATTAGCAGCAGTTATGTTAATGAGGCAGGACTCATCTACAAGATTAGATTGTGTCTTAAGCCAATCTCTTTTGAGACATGAAAAAGAGAATCGAGCAGAGAGACATGGGGACCGCATACCACCAAGAAACAAGAGCCAGGAGAATAGCGAGTCCTTTGCACCTGGGGTCCCTGTGCTGAGAAGAAGCTCCTCCACCGAGGAAGATTGATGACAAGCACCTTTGCCCAGAGCCAACAGAGAAGAAAGTCTTCTCTTGCAGCTGGCACCCTGAATTCAAACTTCTAGCCTCCTAGACCGTGAAGAATAAATTTCTCTTTGTTAAAGCCATTCACTTGTAGTATTTCTGTTATAGCAGCACTAGATAACTGAGACAACATATATTTATGAGATTATGAAGTATAATAAGGATCCCCCAAAAAATGCATGTAAGTAGGATCTCAATTCTCAAAAACAAAAATTACATACATATTAAACAATATATACCTGAAGGTTAATAGTGGTTATCTCTGGGTAATACAGTATTGTAGACATTTTAAAATTCTTTCCTCCTTTTCTGTTTTTTTCTATATTCTCTACAATAGTAATATACACTTTTTATAATCCAGGTGAAAAAAAGTTGACATGAAAACTTACTGTGCGGTTTCTGATGAACAGAAAAACCTTCTGGGTCTGCTGTGGTCCACTGATGATATCAGGAAAACAGGCTGCCTCTTGAGAAGTCATCCGATCGTGGGGAAGTCTGCTCTGGAAGGCTGCACCCTCCACACCTAGCAAAGAAAGCAGAGGACTTCTAGGAAAAGTGCAAGCAAATACAAAACTCGGGATAATGATTATATCTCAAACTCCTTTGTGCCTGAAGAACTCTGTAGAGTTTTGCCCCATTCAGGCAGATCCAACCTTTTAAAAAGACTTCCGATCTGTCTCAAAAACTGAAATGTAACTTAGAATTTAGCCATTCTTTTGAGCTTAACATTCCAAAGTTTACACTTTACTAACGAGTGAAACAATATACCTTATAAAACATAATAAGCTATTTAGAATATTTTCTTCATCCATAAAATAATTCTTAATATTGGATGATACTCAAATAAGCATCACTGATGTACGATAAATCTTAAAACTAAACAACTAGAATAAAAGAAAATACACTAATAGGAGAGCAAAAGAGGCTGTGGGGTGAAAAACACAATCACACACTTTTTAGGATTACAGCAAGGAAAATAAAGAGGACTCTAAGGCTTAATAATCAACAGTAGGAAATACATGATCCCATCAATGGTGCTATCCGTTAGCTCTCATAATTCAATGCTGGCAAGCAGTGAGAGAAATTAAGCAGAATACAATTATAAGAAAGCAAGCAAGGCATTTACCTTTTCTGGCAGAAAAATTAGAGATGTTTTATTATATACTACAAGTAAAAATATATGTAAATGTATTTCTAAGAACACCTTATAAATGTGTCCTTAAACACCATTCTATAAAATTAACAATTTAAAACACAATTTAAAGAGTTTCAAAATTCAGTGTCATTGAATTACACACTAAGTAACAAAATATGCACCAAATATCCATACTTAATTATTTTAAAGCACATAATGCAAGAAGTTGGAAACACTGATAATCGAAGTAAAATTAAAGGAAAGGCATTAGTAAGGTTAGGAGAATAAAAAGAACTAGGCAGGTAAAGCTGTAACTTAGAAAATTAGACCTAAGCTACTGAGGGGTTTGTTTCCACAAAGACATTAAAATGGCAAACACTACCTAAAAAGAAATAATGGTTAACAAGAGGTCAAGCAAAAATGTCTAGTGTTAATATAGGCCACACTGTTCTTGGAGACAAGGAGAGAATACTACCCAAACACAGTAGATAATGAAGGCACAAATATTATGTTTCATATTACTAAATCAAGTCAATAACCCTTGAGTTTAATGAATCCCAACCTAAAATTAAAGACTGTCAGGACAATTAATTATTCCTTAAGGAAAAAAATAATCAAGTAAGAACCATATTGCTGCTGAAGGGGCATTAAAGTTGAGGCAAGAAAACAAGAAATGCTGACTATCAGGGGTACAGGTTATTTCAATCATGTGAAATCTTCTAAAACTAGACAGTTTTGATGTCCCCAGTCCTCTACTACCAAATCTAAATAAACACTATAAACAAATAAAAAAACAAAAACCAATACCAAAAACCTCTCACAGTGTAAGAAGCACTGTCTACACATTAACCTGGGTATTGAACCAAACATCTCTTAATAGGTTACTTCTTGGTATATTTCATGAATCTGTATCACGAACCTAAAAATCAACCATCTCTATTAAACTCTACCTCTCCCCACTAAAGACAGATGTAGTTTTTGTTTTCTTAGCTATATTATCTTCTACATGTTTAATAAGTGGTCACCAAACATTAATCCTACTGCCAAGTATTATTTTCAATGACAGCCAGAATAACCGAGCAGGAATAAACACTGACTCTTCTTTTATACTTGCCTCCTCATTTCAAGTGTTTTCATCATCAAAAAAAAAAAAAAATCACTGTAATATAGCTGGTTAACTTTGGGAACCCTGAGAATATTAAACATTTAAGAAATTTATTTGCCATATGATTCAGCTTTATATAAATCATGTGACAGTTTCTAAGCATCTATAAATCACGCATCAAAAGTTTAACAAAAGGAACTAAACTAAAAGTCACCTGTGACATCAATACATGCTTAGAATAATATTTTTCTCCATCTCCATCTTCTGTATATCTACAAAAAGTAGTTATTCTTAAATACTCTGACAATAATTTTTAAAAACAAAAATGGTCTCTAAAAACTCTGATTATTTCCTTCCTTTTGTTTTTTTAGGGATGAAGACTATTATTTATTTCAAGGAGTAAAGATTCTTATCAAAATTGGAAAGAAAGGCCTGCAAGATAAAAATCGTATCTTTTTTTTAAGAAACAAAAAATATGTTCATTTGGAACCTAAACTATTCAGAAGCTAAACCAAAATATTCTTATTTCCATAGTAAAATAATAAACTACTTTGGATGATCTAATTCATCAGTATCTTCTTTGGGGGAAAAACCTTAAAGAATGCAGTTGACCTTAACAATATCCTTATTAAAAGGAGGCAGCACTAGTACAGATAATCCATAATTAATTTACACTTGGCTCTGGAACATAGTTTAGTACTTTAGTGTTTGTGTACACTAAATGGAATCTGGTATTCTGGAAATTTAGAATGTTTCAAAGATGTTACCTAAATTTTTAAGAAGCCCCAAGGCTGCCTATATACCAGTCTTGTCCTCTGTTCAATTCCTTCTTGCTCACCACTTCACACAGGAAATTTCATCAACACCTTTCAGAATGCAGTCATGCTGAAGCGGAACCACCCTTTCTAATGGTCTGACTCACTAACACTTTCTCTGAAAACACTGTAAACGAATTAAATATTTAGGGAAACAATAGGAGGGTGTAAGACTATAGGCCCTCTATTCCATGAAATCGTCTCCCCCCGCATTCTGACAAGACACAATCTTTGACCAGAGTAAGGTAATAGATACATAAAAATTAACAGAGAAGAAAAGCCTCAGTGAGTGACTTGCCTTTGATTTTTTCATAAAGTAGATAACTAGCTATACAGCTGGATTTCTAGTTGAAGAGTGAAAACAAAAACCGATGGAAGCTACATATAAAAGACTTCCCTTAAAATTAGCAAACTATAGATGCACCATATTAAGTCTATAATGGTTTAAAAATAAAAAGAACAAAGCACAGGGGAAGAAAAAAGAAAGAAGAGAATCATGATTCCTTATGCTTTAGTATTTTGATCTTTTGGGTAAATGCAATTTTAAATGAGTCTATGAGGGAGGGTGTAAGGAATAGTTCATGTACTAAAAACCAAGACTCCTGGGTTAACACTCCTCCTCCACAACTGTTGGTGTATCCCTGGTCTAACTTCTTTGTATTGCAAGTCCTAATCCATAAACTAGGGGTGATACAATACTATCTGTTTAAAGGCAGGAAGCCTGACCCGATGACTTCAAGTTCCCTTCCAGCTCTAAGATTTAGGATGTATACATCAACTTGATGTGGATTTTAAGAAGTCAAGATATGACCCTGGCCCCAAGAAGATAACCATGAGGGACATCTGGCTTCATTAAGAGAAGAATGTTGATCACTTATAACCACATGTTTCTAACTCTGATTGATCATCCCACAAGTGCACTGCTTTGGAGCATGACAAAGACCTGAAGAGAGATCTTGAAGGGTTCAAAACAGTCACCACCATTCCCGGTAACACTTAAAACTTATGTTCTACTAAGAGTAAGTCAGCAGCACCATACTTTATGAAAGTCTGTTTTTACTTTCAGCAATACAGCCTATGTACTTTAAGCTAAAGAGCAAATATTCATTCACATAAAAACAAAAAACGAAAAGCAACAAAAGAAAACTCAATTTCTTTCTTCAAGATTAAAGCTCTAAAGGCCATCCCCAATCTTTGGGTCCCACGGAAGCTCTAACTGTGTATCATTTGATGAAAAGCATTCTTAAAGGTTTATCTACCAAGATATAGGCTCTGAATGAGGATTTTAGTTCCTCCAAGATAAGCATGTACTGATTATCAACCTCCAATCCTTGGGATAACGTTTAAATATATCTAACACTCTGTATCCCCTAACTATGAATGTCTGTACTAACACTGAACTACTTTGATTCGAGACAGTAAAATGCACATATATGCAACTGCAACAGACAAATAATTTGAAAGTAGATTTAACAGTTGAAAAGTGACAAACTCTGAAAGTGAGTAATACCTACTCCAGTTCTATCAAAATGTATATACAAACCAGCTTTGAGCACTGGAATACACAAAACATTCTTTAAGAAGCAAAGGATGAAATTCAGACATGCTACCTTGGATTACTGGAACAAACTTCAACTGTTCCAGATAGTGACCCCTATAAATCATTTAACCCTTTGTTTTTTCCTGGAGGTAAAAAATCTCATATTGTTAGGTGTAAAAAGAAGTATCTTGGATAGACTTTTTTAAGAAGAGAATTTTCATGTGAGAAATTTTTAAATTGCAAAATGATTAACTAAGTAATGTTAATTGAAAAAAAAAATGTACCCAATATCATCTAACAACCATTTCTAAAGAAGATGTCACTTTCCTGCATAATTCCTCTGACTAATCCTAGGATAAGGAGCCTTGGTGGCACAGTAGTTAAGCACTTGGCTGCTAACCAAAAGGTCGGCGGTCTGAAACCACCAGCCACTCCGCAGGAGAAAGATGTGGCAGTCTGCTTCCGTAAAGATTTACAGCCTTGGAAACCCTTAGAGGCACTTCTACTCTGTCCTATAGGGTCGCTATGAGTCGGAATCGACTCGACGGCAACTTAGTCCTAGAATGCCTTTCAGTTCTGTTTTTGTAAGACTTTCCAGTCTATGGCTTCTATCTGTATATACTGCTGTATTTCTTTATTAGAGGTCCCATGATTCCTAAGTCTGTATTTTATATCAAGTTTACTATTACTGTAAAGGCTGTTGTGGAGAAAAGTACCTGCCATCTCCTCAAAAACACGAAGAAGAGCGGAGGGCTGAGATCGGCCTGAGGACTTCAGAAGGTTTTGCTTGCTTTTGGTCTGGCTACACTCTCTTCTATTACACTACTCTATCCTGTGGGTTAAATTTCCCCTGCGCTTCTGGCTAAAATGTGGATACCACAGCCAAAAACACTTGCAAGCATCAATCCCTGACTTGGCGGCTCTTGCTACTAAGTGGCAAGCATCTAATGCCACCCTCACCTGATGCTTGGCCGTCTCCATACCCTCCAGAACTGTCGTCTTGAAGTCCTCCTGCTTGCCCTGTGGAAGGAAAGAGGAGAACTCAGGGACCTTACTCCATAAATTAAAATATTATCTGGACATAAAGGCCTAGTAGTTGGCGACTCATGAATTCACCACCAACTAGTAAACCCATTTTCAGAGAGTTCCTTCTTCTGGAATCAAGGACCAGGGAACCACATCGTAGTCTTCCAAATTCTGGCCAGGAAATTTCAACTTTACACACATGATTCTTGTTGAAAGGCAGTGGAACAAAGTACATAGCGTTTTTAATCGCTAAATACTTGCAGTCAGTATTGTTTAACGGTCAAGGGTGGATGGGGAAAAAGTAGGACTCCAAGTGTCTTTTACTACCCATTGCTAGGTTGAAAATGGATGTGGCACGGGCTCTAGGACCTACAGTTGCAACAATTCAGCATCAGCTCAATATCCCTTTAACTTTCTACCTAAAAGGAATAAATATAAGACAATAAGCAAAAGATAATTTTAACGAAAAATCCTCCCCTTTCTCTTCAAGGGAGAGACTATAACTAAAAGATTCAGCTCCAAAAGAAGTTTCATTTACTACAAATACTAGACAGTACTAAACCTGAATATGCCAGTGCTTCCTTAGTAGAATTTTAGAACATACCTTAAGACACCCTACAGCCATATGCCAAGTAATGTAGATAGACCCACACTTCGGAAGGAGGAGGAGCAGACAAGATCTTGGGAGAGCTTCTACCTCAAGCTACATACACCTTGTAAGAAATATCCCTTGTTGATTAACGTGTAGGAAAACTTTAAGAAAAGTATCAAAGCTTCAAAGTTCAATCTGAAAAAATTAGGAATGACTATGTTCCAGACTCTTTCAAAAGCTGTTACCAAGAGAGATGCTATAATCTTAAGCTTCTAGCCACCTGGTACACTATGGAAAAACTACAGTGTGAAGTTTTGAAGATATGAAAGGACCACCCCCAATGATATGAATCTGGACAAGTTTCACCAAACAGTGTAATTTAAAAGCTATATCCCAAATAGAAAGCACACTGATTATTCCAACACTTGAGTTAGAAGGGAGCAGTAAAGTGAAACGAAGCCCTTTACTATAAGAATGCTCTGAGGTCTGTGGGACATAAAGTAACATCTTCAAGTATACGAAGGACAGAAATAGGTATTTAGATAAAAGAGGTAATTGATAAATTAATAAAATTGATCATTTATAACGATATTAGAACACGTTGCTAGAAGGCAAATGTTCTTTTTTGAAGGTAGAAAAGAATGTCATTCTAAATTTATTTTACTACATGAAGGGTCCTTCAGGTTCTAGAAGGTTATGCTTTTCAAACAAGGCACAAGGCATATGATTTGTTGTTTAGAGACCTTGGAAAAAGATATATGAATACGAAGTTATTGTTGTTAGGTGTAGTCAAGTCGGTTCCAACTCATAGCAACTCCTGTGCAACAGAACGAAACACTGCCCGGTCCTGCATCATCTCACAATCGTTGCTCTGTTTGAGCCCATTGTTGCAGCCACTATGTCAATCCATCTTGTTGAGGGTCCTTCTCTTTTTCACTGACCCTCTACTTTACCAAGTATGATGTCCTTCTTCAGTGACTGGTCCCTCCTGATAACATGTCCAAAGTATATGAGATGAAGTCTCGCCATCCTCACTTCTAAGGAGCATTCTGGCTACACTTCCTCCAAGATGGATTTGTTCATTCATCTGGCAGCCCGTGGCATATTCAATATTTTCTGCCAACACCATAATTCAAAGGCATCAATTCTTCTTCTGTCTTCCTTACACATTCTCCAGCTTTCACATGCGTACGATGTGACTGAAAATACCACAGCTTGAGCCAGGTGCACTTTAGTCCTCAAAGTGACATCTTTGTTTTGTAACACCTGAAAGAAATCTTTTGCAGCAGATTTGCCCAATGCAATACATTGATTTCTTGCCTGCTGCTTCCGTGGGTGTTGATTGTGGAGCCAAGTAAAATGAAATCCTTGACAACGTCAATGTTTTCTCTGTTTATCATGATGGTGCTTATTAGTCCAGTTGTTGAGAATTTTTGTTTTCTTTACATTCAGGTGTAATCCATATTGAAGGCTGCAGTCTTTGATCTTCATCAGTAAGTGCTTCAAGTCTTCTTCGCTTTTAGCACGTATGATTGTGTAATCTGCATATCGCAGGCTGTTAACGAGTCTTCCTCCAAACCTGATGCCTGTTCTTCTTCGTATAGTCCAGCTTCTCGGATTATTTGTTCAGCATACAGACTAAGTATGGTAAAAGGATACAGCCTTATCGCACACCTTTCCTAATTTTAAACCACACAGTATCCCCTTGTTCTTCATCTATGTACAGGTTCTGCATGAGCATAATTGTCCTGGAATTCCCATTCTTCGCAATTTAATCCATAATTTGTTATGATCCACACAGCTGAATGCCTTTGCATGGTCAACAAAACACAGGTAAACATCTTTCTGGTATTTTCTGCTTTCAGCCAGGATCCATCTGACATCAGCAGTGATATTCCTCATTCCACATCCTCTTCTGAATTCAGCTGAATTTCTAGCAGACCCCTGTCTAAGTACTGCTGCAACCGCTTTTGAATTATCTTCAACGAAATTTTACTTGCATGTGATATTAATGATATTGTTCAAAAATTTCCACATTCTGTAGGATCACCTTTCTTTGGAATGAGCACAAATATGGATCTCTTCTAGTCAGTTGGCCAGGTAGCTGTCTTTTCCAAATTTCTTGGCACAGACGAGTGAGCTCTTCCAGCACTGCATCCATTTGTTAAAACATCTCAGCTGGTATTCCATCAATTCCTGAAACCTTGCTTTTTACTAATGCCTTCAGTGCAGCTTAGACTTTTTCCTTTAGTACCATTGCTTCTTGATCATATGCTACCTCCAGAAAGGGATTAACGTTCACTAGCCATTACAGAAGTGCAAATTAAAACCACAATGAGATACCATCTCACCCCGGCATTACTGGCACGAATCAAAAACACTGGAAATAACAAACGTTGGAGGGGCTGTAGGGAGATTGGAACTCTTATGCGCTGCTTGTGGCAATGCAAAATGATACAACCATTTTGGAAAATGATATGGCAGTTCCTCAGAAAGCTAGAAATAGACAT